TCACACTCAGGTGCATCATTTTATCCGGGTCATAATAATCTAGTTACTTGTTCCCAAAAAGCCTTAACCATATCTGCCTTGTAATGTATCAATTCATCACCTAGTGGTGACGCCGACTAATAGTGTACCTCTTGTATATCCCAGAATCACCAGCATGACTTCATTCTCTGTTCTTATTATGGGAATGTCCGTCGGTTGCAGCACACAGACACTCAGTTCAGCTTAGTAGCTTTAATGTTTCCTTAGCAAGTCACGTTTCTATATTAAAAGAAACAAAATGGGGAAAAGACACAAGTAGGAAGAAAGGTAGACAGACCAACAGACAGGCAGGCAGGCGGACGGACGGATGGACAGACAGGTTAAGGGTCGTCAGGGGCAGGGGTAGGAGAACTGACACGTCATGACACGTTAAAACAAAGAAGACACAATATGCCGTCTACAATTTTATTAACGAGACTTTGCAACACACATTTATTCTTATTCTCTTACAGTGCAATGATCACAAAACTACTGAGCTAAGACTATACTTCCTATGGGCCTCAACGCTTGGAAAATTCCCTTTATGTGTGTGTGTGTGTGTCTGTGTGTGGGGGGGACGGGTGGTATTAAAAGACCCAATGCCTCTAATAATGAGGAAGGTCTAGGATAGACAAGGAATACTAGCTAGAGGTTATAATATAAACAACCTTCTTTATGAGGAGGATAAAGTATTAATAGCTGAAAACAAAGAAGACCTGCAACAACTGTTGGACATTGTGGTACTAGAGAGTGCAAAAACAAACCAAAACTTTCTTCAATTTCAAGAAACAAAAATAACGGTTAGACGTATATCAAAGAAGATAACTCCAATATGCGATTAAGCAATAGAAGGGAAAGTGCCTATCATCAGATGGAAGATGACAGCTATTAACAGCAGAATGGGTCAAACAAAGGCAGCATTTCAGAAAATGAAAAGTATCTTATGGATAAATCACTTTCATGAAACATCAGAAAACGAGTACTGAAATGTTATATCGAATCTGTTCTTTTGTATGGCAATGAGTCTTGGAATGTGAACAAACAAATTAAGAGGAATTTGGAGGCAACAGATGCGGTTCTTGAAAAGAATGCTGCGAATACCTTGGACAGCCAGAAAAACTAACAATGATTGCCTAGAAAAACAAACAATTAATATAATATTCTTCCTTTAAAAAAGAAACCTTTCCCCTCTTACGCTTCCCCTCCCTTCTGTCCCTATTTCCATGATTAATTTGCTGATTTTTCAAAAAATTGAAACTACGTCATCATTATCCTGTGCCCTGCCAACATATTAGCGCTCCTGCGTGTCCACAGATCACGATCCCTGATTGACTGGAACAGCTCTCTTGATGATATCCCTCCATGCCATCGTTTCAGTCCATCTAGCATCATCTCTTTTGGTCTGCCTCTGCCAATTTTCCACTGATCTTTCAGTTGTCACGATGTTCTCTAATGTCTGTCTTCTTATTATGTGGCCAAAGAACAGTGTTTGTCTCTTTCTTGTTGTTGTATAAAGAGATCTATTTTCATTAGCTTCTTTCAAGCAATCGTTGTTAGTTACTACGGCCGTTCAATGTATTCATAACATTCGTCTCAGAAACCACATCTCTCTTACTTCTAAATTCTTCTTAATTTGTTTACTAACATTCCAAGATTCGCTTACATACAGCAGAACAGGTTCTATGTAACATTATAACATTGTTAAAAACGTTACATCATTGTTAAACTTTTGTGAATTCCAGAGAAATTTGACTAAAAAGCTCAACAAAATGGGAAAGAGGAAAACGTGCACAAAACAACACAACGTAACGTTTCGGCCAGGCAGCCTTTTTCAAACACAAGTGGACTACACAAACGAGGAATGGAGAGTATGTAGATCTCTAAGGGGTGACGTGAGCGACGTTTAAAAAATGTGATGCGGAATAAATGAAATAAAATAAAATAAACGATGGCTAAAAAATATAGTCACAATACTGGGAATAAAAGAAATGCAAGTGTTAATGATACATAAATGATATTGATAAGAAATAGAATATGGTAATAATATGAAATAAAATAAAATAATTAACATTTAAAATGTGATAAGATTAGAACTATTTAGATGAAGGTATGTTGGATATTGATACCTTTTGGACTAAGAACGCCAAGGCTGTGGATAAGGCGATTTTCCAAAGCGAGGCGGGTAGTATGATCGCCAGAGCAAGATTTTAATGCTGTGACAGATATGTCATCTTTACCGCTGTGGTCAGGGCTATTAAAATGAAGAGGGATTGGTTTGAGTGTCTTCTTGTCGATATCAGAGAGGTGTTCCCGGAAACGATCAGCTAGCTTCCTGCCAGTCTCCCCAATGTATGCCATGCTGCATCGTTTGCAGATAATTGCATAAATTACGTTGCGGGATTCGCAAGTAAAAGGTTCCCTAATTTGAAAAGAACCATTAGGGAAACTGACCGAAGAAGTCTGGACAACGAAAGGACATGTTTTGCAGGTGCTGCGTGAGCACTGAGTAGTCCCAAGAGGAAGTGCTGTATGGATCGGTGGGAGTCGGCTTCGGACAAGTATGTCTTTAAGGTTGCGAACTCGTCTGTAAACTAATCTAGGTTTCTCACTAAAGATAATCTTGGTGTCAAACTTGTCATATTTTGTTTAACGCAACACTGATACACATAAACAAGGCAACACGTACTATAGACGTACAATTCAGAAACAAACGGCAACACCATGTACACGGGCAGAGATTACACTCAATAATAATATAATTTTTTTTAAAGACTAAAGTTAATTCGCATAGTCCATGAAACGCACAAAAAGAACACCCTAAGAAGACTTCACCTCCCCCAAAGAAAGACAGCGCTAACGAAGGCAGGAGACAACCAACACAAGACCCATGAGACATGTAGACTAGTAGAAAGTAAGTAGCCAAAATCATCATCCAGTGCAAAAACAGCCAAATAAGTTACCACCAATATAATAAAAGCGGCCTGTTGGCAGCAAAAGGGTGATTTTTTTTTATTCTTGTTGCATTATTTTATATTGATTAATTTTATTGATGATTTGTAATTATGACTTCAATGTAGACAATGAGCGGGGTGGGGGGGGGGGGGGTAGGTAACATTTTATCAATTCAACTTTTATTTAACATGCACACAATAATGACTGCACTAAACAGAGGAAAAATCCTTCTAAGAAAAATGAGACGTTACTAAAACAATTGGCAGCACTAAAAAAATTTCAAATATGAATATATTTTAACAACTAGTAGCAGTAATAGACAAATAGCTATGTGAATATATTGTTACAACTGGTCATACTAACAGATCAAAATGTGAATATATTGTTACATCTGGTCATACGAACAGATCAAAATGGGAATATATTGTTACAACTGTTCATACTATCAGATCAAAATGTGAATATATTGTTACAACTGGTCATACTAACAGATCAAAATGTGAATATGTTGAATAACTGTGGTACTAACAGAAAAATTTTAATATATTGTAACAACTAGTAGCATTAAAAGCATGGAAAAGACAGTGATGGAAGGTGCAGTTTGTGGAAGGCGAAGCAGGGGTCGACCACAGTGACGATGAATACAAGACAATGAAGATGCATTGGCACTGAAAGCACATGGGGCCGGAGAGCTGGCTAGAGAAATGAATACTCTCAGGCGTGCCGTGAAGAGAGCGACGTTCTGTAAAGGACTTGCTGATTGATACTGAGTAGAATTAATAGACAGAAAAAAATTATTCTACTATAAAAACGGACAATTTGAATACACTATAACAACTGCTAGAACTTAAAGAAAAATGGTAAATGTGAATACATTGCAACATATGAAAGCAAACAAACGAACACTTAAAATGTGAATATACTGTAACAAATGTCAGCACTAATAGAAGCATGGAAACTGATTACATTGTACCAACCGGCAGAACTAATAAAACACTTAATGAATGAATGTAATATTACAGCTAGTAGCACTAAGAGGAAAATATGAAAAGCTATTTTGTGGTAATAAATAGTAGCATTATTAGAAAAATCAGAATTTAATAGAAACGTTGAAAATATGAATATATCGCAACAACTTGTATCATCATCAGCATCATGTGCCCTGTCAACTGGCGTAGGCGTTTATGCGTCTCCACAGATCACGATCCCTGGTTGCCTGGAACAGCTCTCTTGGTGATATCATTTCATGCCAACTAGTACCACCAACTACAAAGATGGATAGGACAGTTAGGGAGAACACCAGTCAGACACAATCAATTACGTTGTGTCAAAATTGTAGCAGCTTAACTGATACGTAGCATTAGGGAACAACATTTAAAAGCAGACATTGCTTTACACACAGACACATACTAGCCAATAACGGATATAAAGGTTTGTATACACACACACACAGTGCATAGATGGGTCTCTTCTACATGATTCGTGGTTTTTCTTTAAGTACAGGTTATGTTATCACAATCGACCTCACTACACACTGGGCATTTCCATGCGTGCTCAGTCCTCCAATGCAGCAGCCACTCACAGGACTTCTACTAATTTTTCCCATTAGCGTTTGGTTTTAATATCTCCTATCTCGGCCTCGGAGATGGCGTAGACGTGCTTCACTATAATACTAGGTGTGTGTGTGTTTTGGGGACAGCACTTGCCGTGCGCCCCTAAAAACCTCAGGTTTACGACCCGCTGTCTACTACACCACCCTAAAAAGTGGCACTTACAGACAGTAGTCGCACTTTACCTGATAAATAGTTACACGGAAACAAAGGACATGACCCTGTAACCCTGTCTAGACTGACAGACATGGGGGTGCAGCCTGGATATGCAAAAAAAAACAAACATTTCATTAAGGGGACAAGACATTTCATTAACCAACACAGAAAAGGCGTCATCAGTCGTTTTACACTTGTGGAGCTTTTAAGGAGGAGATCGGAGCACCTATGAATCTGACCGGAGTGCTGTGATGATAATCCTTTCTAAGCACTAATCACTGAAACCGCTCTAGTCAAATACATTTTAGGAATGACAACATGCATAAAGCAGGACAATTTCTCGCTACAGGTTATGTTTTTGATACGTCTGAAGACCCCTGGCACAGACAACTCCCACTGTTTGTCTGCATCATTTTCTGAGAAACTTGGCCCAAACAGCAGCAGTTCATCATTGAACACAAGAGCCCCTTTAACAGTTCTGCTAAAGTCCCAAAGTCTTGTCTCGTATTTGATTTCTATGAACGGATCTGTAGAACAAGGTCTTATTCGATAAAGAGCCCCGTCCTTTTCCAGCATGAAAGCTTCGTTTTCTTTCCTGAAACAGACTGCGACGGATGCAATTGGTGGTATGTTATTTAATGTAGAATAGCGTAAGGTGACGGTATCAAATACGACAACACGTATTTTTAATTCTCCAGTACTTGTACCAAAGAAAATAATTTTGTCGTCAATAACCGTTGCATAATTAATGCTGGCCAAATCCAAGGGAAGAGTAGATATTTTCACCCACTGACTCTGAGAAGACACGTGGAACGACTCAACCACATTAACCATTTCGATCTGATAACACCCGTCTTGGCGAAAAATAGAGTACAGGCATTTTCTGATAGACAGTAGATAACCTGGTGTTTCTACAGCCTTAAACTTCGGAATCTCCAGCCACGAATTCAAGAATGGTGTATACATATACAATTGGACAATGTTTCCTGTTAAATAAACAACTTGGTTAAAACATGTCACAGAGTTTGAGCTATAATCACCTTTTACAGGTCGTCCCAGGCCGCACCATTGACCACTTTGTCTTCGACACACTAAGACATCTACATCATCGTACAGACGTGTCGCGATAATAACATTCTCCAAGCTACTGCTGGTTCTATGGACGGCTGAAGGAGGGCAAAAGTCATGAAGCCTGTCTGTTTGCAATATATACTCCAGCCCTTTCTGTAGTATCACATGAGTCCTTGCATCAGCACGCACAATGTCCGTATTCATGGCTTCAATCAAACATTTCCCACTTAGCAGACACACCCTAACAACGCTAAGCAGACTGGACAGATGGTCCAATCGGCTGAAGTTGCTGGCATATTTCTCATTGTCCTTGTTTTGCTCACTTGCTCTCGAAGCTTCTTGGTCAATATGAACTGTACTATTATCTCTACACGCTGTGTCATCGTCATCGGGTGATTCTGTCTGAATTATATATTTGCACTCGACAGCTGGTTCGGGTGTTTCATGGCAAAAGTCACCACTATTTATTTCAGTAGGTTTGTAAGCAACCCAAGATAAAACCGTCTCTATGACTTCATCTTCTGAACTGATCTTCAAATCAGGGCTTGAAATTAGCTTTTCAAGTTCTTCTTCAGTAAACATCAGAAGTTCGTCACACTTTCTCACAAATGTGAAATGTTTAACAATATAGGACCATGAAAGGGGAATCAGCTCTTTTGAATCCAGTACCTTGCTATGGTTGTAAATGGCAAGACAGTTTTCCACGTTGATTTTTTGTTTTACGAATATTTCACACGCTTCTAATAAGGAGAGTACCTCTAGCATATCTGCTGCATGCCACAGTTCATATATGTTCCTGTCGGTAATGACGTTCTTCCCTGTATATACACACTCCATGACTTCGGCAAAGGTCTCGTGCGAGATGCCTTTAAGCACTACCTTTCTTTCGCGGTCTTCTTTCATCCCTGATGTGAAGGCAGCTCTAAAAAATCCAGAAGATGCTGCGAGAATAACACGATGACATCTGAACTCGACGTTTTCTATAACTACTAGCACATCAGACAAATCACAAGTGTCTTTCTGGTTCTTAAGCCCCTTTAGGATCCCAGAGATAATCAATTGGGTTAACATCGTTTCACTATCTTCAGTTTTTTCATCCATGGTGTATCCTCTTTGGTGATTGCACCTGTAGCTTATATCCTTCGAGAAACAGATTTCAGAAACATTCTTTGAGGGTTCGGATACTGAAGCACTGAAAAATGTTGGTACTTCGACGCGGGATGGTGAAACTCCAGCGCTAAACGGTGATACTCCGACGCCGAACGCTGGTGCTGGGCTGCTGCCGAACGTTGATACTCCGACGCCGAACGGTGATACTCTACCTTGGAAACGTGATACCCCGACGCCGAACGGTGGTGCTGGGCTGCTGCCGAACGTTGATTCTCCGACGCCGAACGCTGGTGTTGGGCAGCTGCCGAACGTTGATTCTCCGACGCCGAACGCTGGTGTTGGGCAGCTGCCGAACGTTGATTCTCCGACGCCGAACGGTGATACTCCGACGCCGAACGCTGGTGCTGGGCTGCTGCCGAACGTTGATTCTCCGACGCCGAACGTTGATTCTCCGACGCCGAACGCTGGTGCTGGGCTGCTGCCGAACGTTGATACTCCGACGCCGAACGGTGATACTCCACCTTGGAAACGTGATACACCGGCGCTGAACGGTGATATTCCGGCACCGAACGCTGATACTCCAATGCCGAACGGTGATACTCTAGCGCCGAACGCTGAAAATCCGGTGCCGGGCGATGAAACTCCGGCGCTGAGCGGCCTCACTCCGGTGCCAAGCGGTGATACTTCGGCGCCGAGAGGTGATACAGCACTCCGGCGCCGAGCGTTGTTACTCCGGCGGGAAATTGTGTTCCTTGTGGTGAGTTTGTCAAAACAACAGCAAGTCAAACTAATTAGTTCATATGTTAACAGACAGCACAAGGAACTATGGCCAACCAGTACTGATGAGCATGTGTTGAAAAGCAAATAAACTTGTCAATAGTCATAACACAGTGTTATGCTCAATGTATTTATGAAACAACAATGCGTGACTGGATGACTTTTAATGCAACAGGAAAAGAAAGGTTTGCTACAAATAAACTGGAAAATAAATCTTAATCGAAATGGCTGATAAAAGCTCCCAGGGAAAGATTTACGCAAAGTAAATCAGATGTTGCCACTCGAGGTAAGGTACTCGATTTTAAAATATTTATAAGCTTTTATTAAGTTCGGTTTTGTTAGTAATATAGTTTTATTGTTTTATTATGAAATCATGTTCACTAAGCGTATCGTTTGTACAAAATCTAGAAACAGTCTTGCAAAACTAAAAAAAAAAAAGGTTATCAAAGGCTGTCCTGCTAAGACTAGGAAACCTAAATATTATGGCAGGCTTGGGCTTGGTTATAAGGATGATTAAAATGGTTAGGATGATTTCTAAATTTAGGTGTTTTATTTAGCACCAGGTAACCACGAAACTGTGTGTGTAAAATATTAGAGAACGACTCAGAATCAATGTCCATCTACGGGTGTCTTCTGTCTCCAGCAACTGTAGACAAAACAAGAAATAAGACATTAGTTATGGGAACGTGGGATATTAAAACACTTTTGCAAGTGGTGAGACAGGAAAATATAGAAATTACTTAGGTGTACAAACATGTAATCCTTTCCACTACACAGCTAAAATACCATCTTACTACAAAGAGCTTGGCTCCCTAAATATCTATTGGTGGGGGGGGGGGGTGGAGCTTAACCTCCAGGTTCTAGCGCTATGGGCGGGTATACACGACATAAAAGCTCGAGTCCGAAAGTAAACTATAACAACAGCGACCGGGTCGCCCATTGGCTCGCCGGTAGACGATTCCATCGCCGGTCAGGACAGTATTTGGGTCTGTCTACTTTGATGAAATCAACACTACAAGAGTCTTTTTCATGGCTAAGCCATTTTATATTGCGCACATAACCTAGTCACAATTATAACCTAAAGCTTCCCCTCAGGGGATGCTGGCTGAACGTGTAGATTTGTTTTCTCTCCATCATTCACCTACCTTCCTAGTGAACTATCTATTAGTAGACATTAACACCATTCAAGTTGTGACACTAGCTGTAGCCAGTACAGAAGAAAGAAAATAATAATTATTGCAAGCACCTAAATATGACTACCATCAATCATCATCATGTGCATGTGGTGCTGGCAAGTCGACTAACATCACTATAACTTCTTCTTCACATTCTGATTTTCTTACTCGTTACCTCGGTGAAATGTTGGGAGAAGGAAAGATTTAAGAATCGTCTATGTGCTATTTTTACTGAGCTGTCTAAACTGATTTTCATTTTGCTTAGACTCTTCATGACGCCACTGTTCCATACATTTATCATTTTTCTGTCTCCCTCTTCCCCAGTCTTCATTATATTTGTTCAGGGGAGCGTGTAAAGAAACCACACATCACGTAAAAGTAATACTGTACCCCACTTACGACAGTCCAGTTTTGCAAGACGTAATTATACAAAATGAACATAGAAAAAGAATAAAATCTTACCGTTTTTGCAAAATCACAAAACAGTTCTTGTATATTACTGAAACTGAAAACTGTTCGTCCAAGAAACTTCTATGCAACTAGCTAGCGCTATAGCTGTAATCTAAATGCGTCAATAATGAAAACGAAATTTCAGAGCTGGAAATGCAATTATGATAGTCAGATTTAACTATTTTGACCACTTAGCAACACTGAATTAGACAATAGTTGAAAATGTACTACTGTTTACTGCATAAATTTAAACTTATAATGTTCGTCAATGAAATACACCACGAACACAAACAATTATGTATCTGATACAACAACTGAAACTAGATAGTGTAGTTTTCTTGGAAAATTACGTCAATGGTGAAACTGAAAATAGAGAGAGGTTATGGAGTTGGCCATCTTTAGCCAGATTTGGCTTGATAACTTAGCTTAGCAACATTGTCGAAATCCGTCTGGTGTGTTGGAAAGCACATGTTTTGCATTATGTTCATGCATTAAAAGATGTCATTGTTTATATTTATTTATTTTATGTTGAAAGGGAGATCCGTGGTGTAGGCTGCCAACCTGTGAAGGTCGTGGGTATCTGGCATTAGGCTCGTCAGCGAGAGTTTTTTTTCCCTCTCTGCATAAGTATATTAAAAACTGGCCCGGCTCGCTAGCGTAGTTGGCTAAACCGGACTGCGCGGTGACCGGGTGACAAACTCCTTGTGGTCCGGGTTTGCGCCCGGGGGTAGGCAGAAAAGCCACACTTCTCCAAGGTTTGCGGTATTTATCATGGAATCAAGGCCGAAGGGTTGCGATATCCATAGTACCGAGCCTAAGGTTGTGTGTCTTATCTATGTCAAATATAGAAGCAGATGTGTTGCATACAATTAATTCGAGGATTTGATCAAAGACTGTGCCCCCACCCCTCCCTTACACACACACACACACACACACACACACACACACACACACACATGCACACGCACACAGACAATCTATAAAGTGCTTATGGAATCGAAAGATCCTAACTCGGCCCAGCTTATAAGGCAGGACCAATAGCGTATGCTCAGCCGTCGTACGGTAGCTAGACGCTCACAGGTCGATTAGAAGGTCTTAGGTTCGAATCCCCACCTGGCCGGGCATACTTTAACAATGATATTGACTAATATATCTGCCCAGCCTTACGTGTATACCACAAAATGTCCCGGGAAGTAAAGGCGAAATACCTCAACTGTCTCTGAACTGTCTCCCCCGCCCAACCACCAAATTTGTTTGCTCTGAAAGGTTGTAAGGTGGAGGAGAGGTTGGCGGCTTTACCTCCCCCCCCCCCCCCAACTCTCTGTGTTTTCGTCGTGGCAGCGCACCTGTCAGTGGAAAAGACTGAGGTCTCAAAGAGTAATGTTCCCAAAGACAGCAGTGGGTAAACTGCATCCTAAAAAGGACGGGAGACAATGTTGATCCCTGGGGTAAGCCCATTAAGACGCTTTGAGGTTTCGATACCCATGTACCTCATATCATTCTTGGGCATGCATGGGGGTATATCTATGCGCTGGGCACTGCAAGCCTGCACAGCCTCTAGTCGATAGAACAATGTAAGTAAGGGAAGTCGGCAAATTGGATCCGTAACTTCGGGAAAAGGATTGGCTCTGAGGGCGAAGACGGCCCACAAAGTATTATTTATTTTAGTTACAAATTGTCTACTTCAATAGGTAAAAGTTACCCCCAAAAAAGTAAAGGACCCGTTTTGCCACCTTTGAGCGTTTTGGGAATAGAGGGATAGACTTACATTATATAGAACAGATTAAATCTGCCCAGAATGCACTAAAATTGAAAGAGATAATGGGATACACACAAACCGACCGTCGAGGCCTAGGGCACGGGAAGGTCAATTGGTGGTCAAAGGCCTCAGCCAAAGAACGCCGAGACATGGTAATACAAACTGTGAGGGACAACGAAAACGAGGTTCGGGTTCAGAAAGCAGCCCAGCAGTCGCAGCAGGGCCATTGGGTCAGCCTGGAGAGCGCATTGCCAAGAGTACTCACATGGGGTGAGATCTGGCGGATGACCCCGCTGCGACTGAGCTTTATCGTTCGTTCGGCGTACGATGTATTACCGTCCGGTGTTAACATGGTTAAATGGTCTGCGACCAACGATCCGACTTGCCCGTTGTGCAAATCGAAGCAAACTCTTGAGCATGTCCTGTCCGCGTGCAGGAAAGCCCTAGGTCAAGGCCGATACACCTGGCGACACAACAAGGTGCTAAAAGAGTTAGCAGCCGTTGTCGACCAGGCTAGAATGAGGGCTAACGCCAGAGCCAGTTCTAGCATCGTCCCCATTCGTTTCCTCAAGGCTGGGCAGGTTCCAAAAGGTAAGGTCAACCAAAACGCATTCGCTCCATCTGTGCTAGACTCTGCGAGGGACTGGTTACTGGTGGTTGATCTGCCAGGCCATGAACGGTACCCCGAGTTGATCCGTAAGACCGGCCTGCGACCGGACATAGTTCTCCACTCTGCGCAAAAACGGCAGCTCATCCTGATTAAGTTGACCGTCCCGTTTGAGTCGCGTATGGAGGAGAATCACTTGTACAAGCTCGAGAAGTACAGTGAT